TCTCCTTAGCGATTTAGGTTTATCTTCTATTACTTCATTCAATAATTGTTGTGATCCTTGTCATCGAGCAAAGCAAACTCATAAACCTTTCTCTACTAGTTCTATTAAAACGATTGAATCTTTTGAATTAATTCACTGTGATGTTTGAGGACCATATCATGCCACGTCTCTATCTGGTGCCAATTATTTTTTGAGCATTGTAGATGATTACACTAGATCCAATTGGGTTTATTTGATCAAAACCAAGGCCGAAGTCTATAGTAGGTTGACTTCCTTCATAGCCATGATAGATAAACTATTCGGGAAGGCCATTAAACAAATTCGTAGCAACAACGGAACTGAATTCACAAACCATAATTTTCAACTTTTCTGCCAACAAAATGGTATTTTAACTCAATTTTCTTGTGTTGCCACGCCTCAACAAAATGGGGTGGTTGAGCGTAAACATAGACATATACTCGAAGCTGCCAGGGCCTTACGATTTCAAGCTAATTTACCGATTAAATTTTGGGGAGAATGCATCTTAACGGCAGTTTACTTAATCAATTATACTCCCACACCACTTTTATCTGGAAAGAGTCCTTATGAACTTTTGTTTTCTCAAAAGCCGAATTATTCCCATCTTCGTGTTTTTGGGTGTCTTTGCTATGCCTCCATCGTCCCTCGATCAAAAGATAAGTTTCAGGAACGTGCATCTGCTTGCATTTTTATTGGTTACCCTCATGGTCAAAAAGGGTACAAAGTGTATGATTTAACCTCACATAGAGTCTTCACCACCCGGGACTTGACGTTTTATGAGCACATTTTCCCTTTCCAAGAAAAGTCCTCATCTCGTCCTCCAGATCGTATACCATCAATGACCACACCCATACCTTTGCCTGCCCTTGATCATGAAACCACGTCACTCACTCCCCTCACCACAACGGAATCCATGCACCATCTCTCCGATATCATAACCTCTGACCATTCCATTGATACCGATCCGGCTCCGCTGACCAGCAACTTACCAAATACTCTCCTTGCTGATCAGCCTCACACCATACCAACTCAACGTCCCTCTAAGTTGCCATCTCACTTTCGAGACTTTCATGTTGACTTGCCGGAGAATAATAGGGCCTCTCCAGCCTCTTCCAACAATGCTTCCTCAGGTACGTCCTACCCTTTGAGTAACTTTCTTTCTTATTTAAAGTTTTCTCCACCGCATACCAGTTTTCTTGTGGCCATCACTCAACATGATGAGCCGCGGTCCTATAAACAGGCCATTCAGGACGTTCATTAGCAGGACGCAATGAAATAGGAATTGGAAGCACTTGAGCAAAACTATACATGGACTTTGGAGCCCTTAACCCCTGGCAAAAAGGCCATTGGATCGCGGTGGGTTTACAAGATAAAGTATCATTCCGATGGATCCGTTGAACGTTACAAGGCTCGCTTGGTCGCCAAAGGTTATACACAGGTTGAGGGGCTAGACTATACTGAAACCTTTGCGCCGATCGCCAAACTTACCACTGTCAGGACCTTGTTAGCTGTTGCGGTTGCAAAATCATGGGCATTGCACCAACTTGACGTCCACAATGCATTTTTACATGGCGACCTTGATGAGGAGGTCTATATGACACTGCCTCCTGGGTACTTATCTTCTAATTATAATCGGATGTGTCGCCTACATAAATCCATTTATGGTTTGAAACAGGCATCTCGCCAGTGGTTTGCTAAATTCTCCAATCCGTTTTGGCTTCACCCAATCCAGGGCGGACACTTCCCTTTTCTTGCATCGCACGGGTGACTCCTTCACTGCCCTACTTGTGCATGTGGACGATGTTATTATTGCTAGCAACAACAATGCTCACACCGCTGCCCTCAAAGAATATTTGAATACCTGGTTTCGCGTTAAAGACCTTTGGCCCCCTGAAATATTTCCTTGGTTTAGAGGTGGCTCGATCCCCTAACGGCATTGTCTTATCCCAACGTAAATACACGTTGGACATTCTACAAGAAGCCGGCTTGGTTGGTTCTAAGCCGGTGCCATTTCCTATGGAGCAACATCACAAATTGGCATTGGACAATAGTGCTCTTCTCGATAATCCATCCGCTTATCATCGCCTCGTTGGAAAGCTCATTTACTTGACAATCACTAGACCGGAGCTTTGCTATTCAGTCCATATTCTTTCCCAGTTCATGAACCAACCTAGACATAGACATTGGTTGGCAGCTCTTCCAGTCCTACGCTACCTCAAATCTACTCCGGGTCAAGGCATTTTTCTCCCCTCCAACTCTGATTTGCAACTCCATGCTTACTGTGATTCGGACTGGCAGGTTGCCCCTTTACACGCCCTTCAATTACTGGCTATCTTATCTTCCTTGGGTGTTCTCCCATTTCTTGGAAAACCAAGAAGCAAACTACTGTCTCTCGCTCTTCAGCTGAGGCTGAATATCTGTCCATGGCCACCACTGCTTGTGAGCTCATTTGGCTTCACACCTTACTTCAGGATTACGGTTTCCACCCCTTTACCAGCTCAACTTCACTGGGACAATCGTGCTGCCTTGCACATTGCTGCTAACCCAGTTCATCACGAACGCACTAAACATATCGAGATTGATTGTCACTTCATTAGTGACTGCATCAAATCTGGCTCCATCACTACATTGCATGTCTCCTCTAATTGCCAGCTAGCTGACCTTTTCACCAAAGCCCTTGGAAACATCCAGTTCCATTTCCTAGTTGGCAAGTTGGGCATTCGTGATCTCCATGCTCCAACTTGAGGGGGCGTATTGGACGGTATTAGAATATTTCCAGCAACAGACAGAATATTTCAGCAATATTTTCTCTCCATATTTACACCTGTCACTTTGTTATTTATTCTATTTTAGCACAACAATGTCAATTAGCATAAATCTTGCTGTAGACTTTCACAATATATATATCCATTTTCACAGTATGTGTAATCACCGTTTTGGTCATAATAAAATTCAGCCTTTTGCTTCTCCTTATTTTATCATGGTATCGGAGCAGTAGAACCCTAGGACAATTTTTTTTTTCTCTTTTCTATGGCCGAAGAGAGTCCTCTGGCCATGGCTTCCAATGCTTCAGGCAACCACTCCAATAGCAACCAAACCAGCTTTGATGTTTCATCACCTTATCTCCTCCATGCCTCCGACAATCCATGTGCAGCACTAGTGACCTGTTTGCTCAGGGAAGAAAATTACCCCACATGGCGTCGAGCAATGACTAACGCTTTACAAGCCAAAAGTAAGTTTAGCTTTATGGATGGATCTGTCAAGCATCCAACATCTGGCTCACCGGAGGAATCTGCGTGGATCAAGTGCAACTCCATGGTGATTTTGTGGATCTTTAATTCTCTTCACCCNAGTTGTGCTTGTAAATTCTTAGCAATTAAGCAATGAACCACAAGATATCACCATTCGAACAAAAATTAAAAACTTTACTGCCCAAAACAACGTCCATTTTATCGTTTACAAATTCAGTAAAAGCGAAAAAGAGACAGCTAATCTAAAATCCCTAACTAGAAATCTTTAATTAACCAAAGCTAAGTCACAGTGCACAACCAATTGACTAATTCAAATTTACTACAGATCTGAGAAGGAAAAGATCCCAGAGCAGGGTACTAGACTAAATGCACAAGGTCCAACCTATTTGAAATAAACAACAATTAAGAACAAACACGGGATATTAATATACCGAGGGGGCGGTGGCGTTTGAAGGCGGCTTGAACATGCCGGACCAAGTCCGGAGGTGAGGAGGACGAACACGACGTCGCTGAGGTGCAGGTGGAGGTAGTGTTGAACGTACGGCTGAGATTGATAGAATCCGGGTTGATGTTGATCGGACGGCTCAGATTCAAACTGGTAAATGTTTCTCCGGCCGGCGGGGCTTGAAGGTCAGGCTCCCCTTCCATCGATTAATCTCTTCGGCATCTCCGCTTGTTATTTCCCAAATCCTAATGAAAATTTTCCATTGAAGAAGTGTGTGTGAGTGAGAGAGAGATTTGAAATGAGAGTTTGGCGCTCATTGATTTGCTTATGATGAAGAATATTATATTGGGCTTGGTCCGGTAATAGTTAAAGGGCCTTGAAAGCCCATATTGCAATTAGTCTTGCATACCATTTAGAGTGAGTTTGACTACAAGTATAAAATTTGTATGGAAATAATATAAATTTTAAATAATTCAATTATCAAGAATTTATCTTTATGTAAAGGGTACTGTTATTTCCATCCACATTTTTTATAAGCACATCCCACTATTAGTTCATTTCTAATAAAATTTAAAAAAATATTATTTACATCCACATCATATTCCAATCGTATCCTTATTAAATTCATTAATTTAAAAACTATATATTCACATGAATTTTATATATTCATCCCACTTTTAATACATCCCTATCATTATAGATTCGTCCAATCCCTAAAATCATAAACTCTTAAACCAAATGAGTGAAATAAGAACAAAGCTAAACTGATTGAATATTATGTCCTCGTTTGGCCCCATTAATTTCTATTACATTACATTACATTTTTCTCTATCATATTTTCAACCACACAGTTTTTTTATAAAATAATATCACACGTAAATCGAAAAATTTTCCTTCTTTTTCAACCACTTATTTTTCAAAAAAACTATCCTACCAATTTTCAACTCTACAAAATGGGAGCCAAATGGGGGCTAAATTAATATGAAATAAATTATTTGTCTATTGAAATTCTGAGTACTAGAATGCTACAAATAACAAAGGCTAACGAAAGAAAAAAGAAGAAAGTTCGATTAAGCAAGCTAAATTTGACTAACTTTGTTGGCTACTATTATTCTTATTTATTGATTAACTGATGAAACTGTATCTGATTCTATTTTGCATTTTCGAAATCCAATATGATTCCACATTTAGGGCCACCATCACCTATAATTATACTCGTGTATTTTTCTATATCTATTAGAATTCTAATTAAGCACAAATGAAAATAAAAACTAGTGGATCAATTTAGAGTTACGTATTTTTATTTAATTTTGTTTATGTTTATAA